CGACGGCGTGCGCGCGCGAAGAAAAAACGAATGTGTCTCGCATGGTATTATTTGACAGGGATGATGGCCCTGGCAGGTGCGCAACCGTTGTTGCAGAAGTTCGAAAAAGTTGCTCGCAAAAGCCCGTTTGACAGAAATGTTGAAAAAGTGTTGGGTTCCCTACGAATCCGCAAGAGCGCGCGGGATGATTTTTTGACATTTTTGTTGAAAAACCATTGGTTTTTTGATGTTTGTATGTTAAAATCGCTACGAAAACTAAGGTTTTGGAAGGATTTCGTCTTGCGCGCGCGAATGTCCACTTTACCTTATTTTTGCAAGGGATTCTTGAAGTTTGGATATGTTAGAACAAGAGATGTCCACTTTAGCTTATTTTTTGCAAGGGAAAACCGGTCGTAACAACACAACCGGATCCGGACCAACCCGTTTTGCCTGAGACTTCCTCACGAAAATGATGAAAACGTGGCTGCGGCCTAGGCGCGGCGGGGGGGCCATGCACCAGGGGTCCCAACAATAATTATTCTTTAGAAATAATAATGTTCAACAACAATTACTCCGACGGAAGGACCCCGCATGAGAATCCTCTGGGCGAATATGGAAAAAAAACCCTCACCGTCGTCCTCGTGGTTGGTGAGGCGTCCTGGCTGTCTCTTCTGCGTATATTTCTTCTCGCCCTGGCGCGGGCCCCCCCCCGCTCCCTACGTTGCCCTTGGCCTCGCCCTCCTGTTTTGGTTCCGGACATTCAGAAAGTGGCCCGGGAGTAATGTTCTGGGAACGCGAAGAACACGAAGTGGGCTACAGTTGGCCCCGGGCATTCAAAATGTGGCCCGGGAGTGGTCTTCTGGGAACACGAGGAACACGAAGTGGCTTACAGTTGGCTCCGGGCATTCAAAATGTGGCCTGGGAGTGGCGTTCTGGCGAGGATGGGCCTGGGCCTGGGCCTGGCGATGGCCTGGGCCTGGAATGGCCTGGGCCTGGCGAGAGCCCAAAAGTGGCGACTGTTACAAGAATAGGATGACCCGCTCGGATTAATAACATGACCCGCGGGACCTATAGGGAGCGGGCTCCCGCTTGAGATTCCCTTGCAATTTACTCACGTATGTGGCCTGGGAATGGCGTTTTGGCAGCGCGAGAGCCCCAAAAAACCGACTGTTATAAGAATCGGATGACCCGCTCGGGTTAGTGACATGATCCGCGGGCTCCATAAGGAGGGGGCTCCCGCTTGAGACTTCCTTACAATTCAGTCACAAATGTGGCCTGGGAATGGCTTTCTGGCAGCGCGAGAGCCCAAAAGTGGCGACAGTTATACGAATTAGACGACCCGCTCGGATTAGTAATATGATTCGGGTGGCCCATAAAGAGGGGGTTCCCGCTTGAGACTTCCTCGCAATTCACTCACAGATGTGGCCTGGGAATGGCGTTCCGGCAGCGCGAGAGGAGGAGGAGGAGGAGGAGGAGGAGGAGGATGAGGAGGAGAAGGAGGAGGAGGAGGAGGAGGAGGAGGAGGAAGCCGAAAAGTGGCGACAGTTATAAGAATCAGATGACCCGCTCGGATTAGTAATGTGATTCGGGGGGCCCATAAGGAGGGGGTTCCCGCTTGAGACTTCCTCGCAATTCACTCACAGACGAGGCCCAAGGCGAATGAGTGAGTGAGTGAGTGAGTGACTGACTGACTGGTGATGGCGATGATCATCACACTCTCTCACGCGCGCACTCATCATCATCATCATCATATGTGAGTGCTGATGAGTGAGTGAGTGAGTGCGTGAGTGAGTGAGTGAGTGTGCGAGGGATGATGAGTGAGTGAGTGAGAAAAGAATGAGCGATGATGATGATGGTGGGTTCCTGTTCCTGCGCGGGGTGTCCAGAGAAAACAAGAACCCCACTTTGGATGTGGGGAACAACAACAACAACAATCACTCCGACGGAAAAACCCCGCATTTGAATCCTCTGTGCGAATCTGGAAAATGCCCTCACCGTCGTCCTCGTGGTTGGTGAAGCGTCCTGGCTGTCTCTTCTGCATATTAATTTGTTTCGCTTTGGCGTGGGGATACGTGCCGGGAATAACGCTCTCGGAACACGACCATCAGAAAGTGGCCTACAGTTGGCTCCAGACATTCAGAATGTGGCCTGGGAGTGGCGTTCTGGGAACACGAAAAACACAAATGGCCTACAGTTGGCTCCGGGCATTCAAAATGTGTCCCAGGAGTGGTATTCTGGGAGCACGAAGAGCACGAAATGGCCTACAGCTGGCTCCGGGCATTCAATATGTAGCCTGGGAGTGGCGTTTTTGGAGCGCGAGAGCCCAGCAGTGGCGACAATTATACGAATTAGACGACCCGCTCGGATTAGTAACATGATCCGCGGGCCCCATAGGGAGGGGGCTCCCGCTTGAGATCTCCTAGCAATTCACTCACATACGAGGCCCATGTGGCCTGGGAGTGGCGTTTTGGCAGCGCGAGAGCCCAAAAGTGGCGACAGTTACAAGAATTTGGCGACCCGCTCGGATTAGTAACACGATCCGCGGACCCCATAGGGAGGGGGCTCCCGCCTGAGACTTCCTTGCAATTCGCTCACAGACGAGGCCCATGTGGCCTGGGAATGGCGTTTTGGCAGCGCGAGAGCCCAAAAGTGGCGACAGTTACGGGATTGGATGACCCGCTCGGATTAGTAACAAATCCGCTGGCCCGCTAGGGAGGGGGATCCCGCCTGAGACTTCCTCATAATTCATTCACAAGCGAAGCCCAAGGCGAGTGAGTGAGTGAGTGAGTGAGTGACTGACTGACTGGTGATGATGATGATGATGATGTTGATGATGATGATCATCACACACTCTCTCACGCGCGCACTCATCATCATCATCATCATCATCATCATCATCATCATCATCATAATCAGCATCATCATCATCATCATCATTTGTGAGTGCTGATGAATGAGTTAGTGTGTGTGAGAGAAAGTGAGTGAGTGAGTGAGTGAGTGTGTGAAGGATGATGAGTGAGTGAGTGAGGAATGACTGATGATGATGATGGTGGGTTCCTGTTCCTGCGCGGGGTGTCCACAGAAAACAAGAATCCCACCTTGGATGTGGGGAACAACAACAGCAACAATAACTTTAAGACCGTTCGCCCTTATATGCTCGAGAGTCCAATAACGCATATTTCCCAAACCCTCGATACCCGCCCCCTTCGTCTTCGATCGAGCCCCTTTTGGGGGTATACCTTTCTTACCTGCAGGCCCCGGCAAGCGGCGAGGCGGCCGCGGACCGGCGGCCTGGCCAGCGGCAGCGCTGATCGGCGGGGCGGCCGCGGACCGTCGACCCGACCCCAAGAGGGACGGACAGGGGACCGACCACGACGACGACGACGACGACGACGACGACGACGACGACGACGGCGACGACGAGCGAAAGCGAGAGCGAGAGAGAACGACAGCAGGGCCACGAAAGGCACGAAGTAGGCCACGAAGGGCGACAGCGGGGACACGAAGGGAATGCGTATGGGGCCACGAAGAGCGCGAACAAGCGGGGGCCACGAAGTGCAGATAATGCGGGGCCACAGAAGGCAACTATGGGGCCACTGAGGGCAGCAACTGGGCCACGTAGGACAGTGAGGGGGACACAAATGGCGACAGCGGTGCCACGAAGGGCATGCACATGGGGCCACAACGGGCGCGACTCCTGGGTGCCTGGGTGTCGGGAGCGCTGCGTTTGGGCAAATTGCAGGAAATTCCAACGCAAGGCCATTCTTCAGTAAATTGCAAGCAAGGTCTCCAGCGAGAGCGCGACTCCAGAGCGCCGGGAGAGCGCCTGAATAAATTGTAAGGAAGTCCCAAGCGAGAGCGCGATTCCTGAATACAATGCGAGGAAGTCTCGGGCAGGAGCGGGGGTCCTGGCTAAACTGTAAGGACGTCTCAGGCGGGAGCCGTTGTTGTTGTAACCCGGGGGCCAGGGGCCCAGTTTAAGCATCAAGACTTTCCCTGTCAGAAAACAGGGTGCGAGCGTCGAGGGGCACACTTCGATTAAGAAAAAACAGTATGCACCAGTGGGGGGGTTCAACAATGATTATTCTTCAGAAATGAGAATTCAACAACACCAACAACACCAACACCAACATCATCAACACCAACACCAACACCAACAACAACAACCACAACAACAACAACGACAACCACATCAACAACGGCAACAGCAGCAGCAACAGCAGCACCAACAACAACACCAGCAACACTAACAGCAGCAATAACAGCAGCAGCAGCAACAACACCAAAAACAACAACACCAGCAGCAACAACACCAACAACAATACCAACACTAACACCAATAGCAACAACAACGCAACACGCAGAATTCTCACTACGAATTCCTGATTCAGCCACGCACCCAAGGACAATGGAAGACCATTCGGCCCCCCTCACTCTGATGAATAAGTGTACGTAAAGTAGGTATTAGTATAAGTACAAGTCGGTACGTATACGTACATCAATATATACATATATATTTATATGCACTAGAACCACGCGCTTCGCGCGCGCAATAACATCGCATCGCAAATTGCAAAGGAGGGATGTAAGGTCGATTCTGGAGTTACCTCGGGGTTGGTAGTAAGACCTGCTTCAATGAGATTGTGGGATCCCGGCAACAAGTGGGGGGGCCATTTTTGTTGGTGTGCGTCCATGACTGTGTCGCGAGAACGCTTCTCCATAAATCAATGTGGCGCATCACGTGAAATAACAACTGGCATATCATAGTGCACTACGATAACGGAAATCGGCATGGTCACAGAAGGTAGTCTGCGGGCACGCCAGCAATTGACAATTGATCGCCGATCAAGACGACCAGACACTTTGATTCATCTTTTTCCTCTCCGTCGTTCGGAAGAAATCACCGTGCGGTCTGCGCTCAGGCAAGCCTGCAGGGAACTGCCAACGCCTTATCGGTTGCGAAGCGCAGTATGGGTTGCGAAGCAGCTTATATTCAATTCCCGGGGGGGGGGCAGCATTTGTCATTGTGCACCGGGGGAGGCCAGCGAGGCCAATACTCCGACAATATCAGTGCACATGTATGCACACAGATTGTCGGGCCTCTTGGGGGCTTCTTGGGGGCCTCGCGGCGCTTCCTTGGGGCCTCTCTCGTGGCCGAGGGCCCGAAATGTCCGTTCGGGGCCCCAGTCTGGACCCTCTCTGGGATCGTTTTGGGAGCCTCTGGGGCCGTTTTGGAGGCCTCGTGGACCGTCTTGGAGCCCTCTCGAGGCCGTCTTGGAGCTCTCTCGGGGCGTCTTGGGGCGCTCTTGGGAGCCTCTTGGGTAGTATTGGCGCGTCCTTGGAGGCGTCTCGGGCCGTCTGGGAGCGCTGGGAAGCTGAAAAAGCGAGAAAACACAAATCCTTCAACCACCGACGATACATGAGTGAACGTTGCCTCTTGGGAAGCCTCGTGGAGGTCTCTTGGGGCGTCCAAGAAGCCTCTTGGACAGTCTGGGGTTAATTCTGGGCAATCTGGGGCCGCCATGGGCCGCTTGGGCGGTCCCGCAGCGCGCTTTCAAACAATCTGGGGCCGTTTTCAGGTGATCTTGAAGGGCCTCCGGCGCGCAGGCAGGGCCCCGGGCACGAAGTCCTGGCCCGGGGCCCCCCTGACCCGGTCCCCATGCAACGCAGTGCCATGGAAACCAGGTGTGAACGCCATGCAGCGAGAAGCACTGCAAGCAAAAGCTGGCAGAGCAAATGAATGGCAGAGCAACGTGATGCAGCACAAATAAAGCCAAGCAGAGCAATGCTCACCAGCGCAATGTGGCTTGCGGAGCCATGCCAATGCACATCCGTCGGAAAACGACCAAATGAAATACAATACAATGCAATGCACAATAATGCAAACAACCGTGCGAATCCGAGGGCTTCGAAGCTCAGAGATCTAGGGGATAGGGTGGGCTACAAAAAAATAAAGGTAGATGCCCCTATCCCGCCGTCGGCAAGCCTCCATGTGACGCTAGCTCACCAGCTCGGCTCTCTCCTCGTCCCCCTCCTCCTCCTCCCTCTCGCAATCGAACCTCTGGCCGATCGGCCAGCCCTGGCAGGCGATCGTTCAGATTGCCACACAGGCTTCGCACGGGGAAAAGAAAAAGTGACGAATTCACCTGCCAGGCTGAGGGGCAAGAACTTTAACATGTAGCCCCAGTCCATCGACCCCGGCCAGGACAAGCTATATGTGTTCTAAGTTGGTCTCGGGGGGGCAGGATTTGTCCGCTCGCATGCGGCGGTAATCTGAAGGCCACGTCAGACCCGGAGTCCATGAGGCCTACAGCATCATCCGTGGGATCTGCATGTCCACAACTGGCTTCTCCTCATCCCACTGAAGAGGATTATGTTGCGGCTCTTCCATTGCTTTCTCCCAGCACAGGGACTCTTCCCTGAGCGGCTCCAGGTTGGCTCAGACCCGCGGGCCACAGGGGGGCACGTTTGTCTGATCCCCCAGCCTTCTGCCCCAGGGGCGGAGGGCGACAGGACGGGCCGAGGCCGCCGCGATCGGCAGCCCTCGCCCGCCTGGCACAGGCGTCTGCGGCGGCGACGGGCCAGCGCTCGCCAGGTCCTCGCAGTCCATCGTGCTCGGCAGCTTCTGCGTCACCACCACGGCGACGATCATCTCGCCAGCATGGGTGCTGGCGGCGGCGGCAAAGGTGGGCCGCGCGCGTGGCCTCCGTCCAGGCCAACGTCGCGGGCGCCCTCAGCCAGTGGTCGCTCACAGGGCGGAGAGCTGTGGCGCTGCTCTCAGCCAGACTGCCGCTGTGCGAAGAACCAGGCGAATTGTCGTTGGTGCAAGCACTGCGGCACGGAGCGCGACGGCGGCACATCGAAGCCACCGTGGGCGCGCGATCGTCCTCGTGGTGCTGGCGGCGCTGGCGGCAAGCCGCTTCCTGACCTCGGGGTCGACGCCATGCAGGCCTTGGTGGCGCTCGCCGAGTCCAAGCGTGACAAGGGGATTGCCGAGAAGTATCGAGCGGCCATCAAGGCCAAGTCCCAGCCCTCAGCCCCCGCTTCTTTGTCCAAGGAGGAGTTGCGATCCATGGTCAATATGGCTGAGAAATCTGGAGACGAGGCCACTGCGAAGAAGTACAAGCTGCTCCTCGACCAGGTCGACAAGCCTGCCGAGGGCAAGAAGACGGCCCAGCTTCGCGCCAACAAGGCCCACGCGAGAGTTCGCAAGGCCAAGGGCAAGCTGGAGGCTGAGCACGCGGTGCTCGGCAACTTGCTCGAGCAGGTGGAGACACAGCGCCAATTGGTCGCGGAGCTGGTCACGGAGCTGGATGCGGCCGAAGCCGAATACAAGCTGGCGGTGTCGGAGGTTGCTGCTGACGTGTGCGCGGCCGAGCAGGCAGCCACAACCGGTGCCGCTCAGCCCGTCAAGCTCTCGTTGTCGAAGCTCATGGACGGTGAGTTGGACAACCTCGTGCTGACGATGACGGACTCTTCGGTTGCCAGCAGTTCGAGGAGCTGAGGTAGGAGACTTACGACGAGGCTCAGAATCGTAAGAATCAGATGCTCCAGACGCTCAAGCAGATGGCGGGCACCTTCTTCGGCGAGGTCCGCCAGAAGGGCACAGCGCTGCAGGCTGAGCACCAGGCGCTGCAGCAGAGGCTTGAGAAGAAACGGAAGACGGCGACCGAGGCTGGACAGGGGAGAATTGAGGATCCTGGTGCGCCACCCCAGGGACCAGCAGAGCCTGCCTCCCAGGCCGCGGCGTCCTCAGCATCGGCTGCAGCGGCGACGGTGTCTGACAGCGAGAAGCTCAAGAGCGAGGCCAGGGCAGCTGCGGCGGCTGCTGAGGCTGCTGAGGAGGCGGCTGGCACGAGAGCAAAGTCAGACACGGAGTTGGGGTGACACAGTGAGAGGCATCTTGAAGCGTGGAGGAGGCTCGCGTCGAGCTTCCAAGGGGTGCCACGTTCGTTTCAACTACTGCGATGTGATGAAGGCTGGGCTCCAGTCTCGACCGCAGGGAAGCAGTACACCCTGAGAAATGCTTAAAAAATCATGGGTTAAGAAATTCATAGTCTCAGAAATGGAATAAAACCCAGAACTTCTATCACAATCTTGGGATTTACATTGAAAAGTTAAGAATAATCGAGACTCTGGACGAAAACTTAGGTTTTCTTAAGCATCGCCTAAGGTGTACATCGTCTACTTCATCACCTCCCTGCTCTCCGGCGGCGGCGACTTCGGCTGCTTCGGCATCGTCTGGGGCGGCGACGGCGTCGCGGGGGGCTTCGTCATCTCTCCGGGGCCCCGCGGTCCCCCCTCCACCCCTGGCAGCCGTCACTGGTGCCAGAGGCCCTTCCCAAGGGGGATAAATGGAGGGGGGGTGGCCGCCGCCGTTGGCGGTCTGCAGACACCCAGGGCCTTCGGAGGGCGCCACGCTCCCCTGGCCCCAGTCGGCCTGCGCGTCGACAGCCACTTCAGTACCTCAGGTCCACGACGAACGTTCTCTGCAGCGCGGGGCTAAGAGAGCTCGTTCATCGACCGCATCCTGGGCTACTTCCTCGTCCACACCTTGCGCTGGATCTGCGTCGGAATCCTGTTCGTTGAGTTCGGCGACGACACTGAGGGAGACTTCGAGCTGCTCGGGGTCGTCGTCTGAGGGACCCGCTGGAGGCAGCTCCCCCTTTTCTCCCCTGTGCGATTTCAGTGCTGCCTGTGCTGTGAGTCACCCAGGGGTCCCGAGTCTCATAGGAGCCGCTAGCTCTTTCGACTTTCTGCAGGCCCCCCCCAGAGCCGCCCAGTCCAGAAAGTTTCGGTCTGGTCATTGAGAGCTGCAACGCTACTTGTTGGAACTCGTCCTCTTTGGCGTCGTGGTCGTTTCCGTCGTCGTTGTCGCCGTGGTCGTCCTTCCTCCTCCTCCCTCGTCGTCGTCGTCGTCCGTCGTCGGCGTCTCGTCGTCGTCCCTCCTATTTCGTCGCCGTCGTCGCCGTCGTCGTCGTCGTCGTCGTTGTCGTTGTGTCTTCCCTCCTCCCTCGTCGTTGTCGTCGTCGGCGTCGCTGTCCTTCCTCCTTCTTCGTCGTTTGCGTCGTCGCCGTCCTCCCTCCTCCCTCGTCGTTGTCGTCGTTGTCGTCGTTGTCGCCGTCGTCGTCCTCCCTCCTCCCTCGTCGTCGTCTTCGTTGGCGACGTCGTCGTCGTCGTCGTCGTCGGCGTCGGCGTCGCGTCGTCGTCGTCGGTGTCGTCGTTGTCGCCGCCCGCCGTCGTCGTCGTCGTCGTCGTCGTCGTCGTCGTCGGCGTCGTCGTCGTCGTCGTCGTCGTCGTCGTCGTCGTCGTTGTCGGCGTCGTCGAAGTCGTTGGAGACGTCGTCGGTGTCGTCGTAGTCGTTGTCGGCGGCGTCGTCGTCGTCGTTGTCGCTGTCGTCGTCGGCGTCGCTGTCGTTGCCAAGTGCCATTTGGTACCCACCGTCACGGCCTTAAGAGATTTTGCAAGCCAAGTTGCGGGTGCGTGGGTGGGATGTTTGCGCGAGCAGTGGAGTGGACAACTCACTGCGAACAGAAATTAGTTGCACCGCATAGCTTGCCCCACGTAGACTGCCAGGAACACATTGGGCGCCCGAGTTATCCGGGGTAACTCGGGTCCGGGGTAACTCGGGTTTGGATTCCCGAAAAAGGAACCCGAGTTATCCCTGACCCGAGTTACCCCTGATGATTCGGGGCTCTGGACGCCCGAGTTATCCGGGGTAACTCGGGTCCGGGATAACTCGGGTTCGGACTCCCGAAAAACGAACCCGAGTTATCCCTGACCCGAGTTACCCCTGATGATTCGGGGCTCTGAACACACTCTTTGGGGCCCATGCTTGCTAACATTTTTTGGGTGTTTATAGCTTGCGCAGAGACCGAGCCCTTTGAGCCACTGCTTCGTTCGGCGCCCACGCCAGGGGCCGGCGGGCCGTGCCCCAGAGACACCGCTCTGGCCGCCCTGTGGCTGGATAGGCAGATGTCGGACCCCTGCTTGCCTGCTTGGGATGGCGCAGCCTGGCCCCCGAACGAAGGATTGCAAAAAAACCGAAGGATTGCAAAAAAAGGATTGCAAAAAAACCCTTCGGGGGATTGCAAAAAAAC